GAGACGGATGAGTGGCCCTGGGCCCTGGGTTCAAGAACTGGTCCGCTTCGCCGCCTTCCGCCAGCAGCAAACATGGCGGCGGCCGCTTCCGCCCACACGGGAAGTCAAGGGTGACGCAAGATGGCGGCGCCCGSCGGCGGCTGAGGCGTGAAGCGAAGCATGGCGTCGGCGGCGCTGGTTCGGCTGGGGCGGCGGCTGACGGGCCCGGGGCAGGGGCGCGGGCACTGGACGGCGGCCGGGCGCTCCCGGAGCCGGCGCGAGGCGGCCGAGGCCGAGGCCGAGGCGCCGGTGCTGCAGTATGTGGGCGAGCGCGCGGCCCGAGCGGATCGCGTCTTCGTGTGGGGCTTCAGCTTCTCGGGGGCGCTAGGCGTGCCCAGCTTCGTGCTGCCCAGACTCGCGCCTGCCACGCGCGGCCGCCCGCCGCGCCGGAGGGTGCAGCCGCTGCCCTACCGCTTGGAGCTGCCGCAGAGGGTGCGCGGGGCGCCCGGGGAGTGAGGCGGGTGGGGGGGGGCAGGAGAGGGAGGCTGGGGAGGGAGGTAGGAAAGGGAAGGAGAGGCCGAGGAGGAGGAGGGAGAGGGAGGCCGAGGAGGAGGGAGAGGGAGACTGGGGAGGGAGGAAAAACTGGAGGGGGAGGCGGGGGAGAAGGAGTGAGGAAGGGAGGAGGCCGGGGAGGTCAGGGAGGACCGGGAGGCGTGCAGCACGGATTGCTGGGGGCAGGCTGGGGACTCCTTAGGGACAAGGCATTAAGAAGGAGCGAGCCCAGCGGGACGGTGGAATGACTGACCTGGGAAGGAGGCAGGTCCTAGATTTGGAGGGGTGGCAGCCAGAGGACCCTGAAGCTGACATGAGGTTGGGCCTGCCTGTGTGGCTGTGGAGGCCCTGGTAGGCCATGAAAAGGAGGCACCTTGTCCAGTTGGGCTTCTGACTTCTCTGCCAAGTCCGCCAGTGAGCTCTGGACCAGAAAYGGGGGACGGAGAAAGGGGGACTTCTGTTCCAACCCGGTGAAAAGCCAGGGGCTGGGGATGGGAGCTGAGCCAAGCTCGGGCTGGCTGGAACCTGCAGTCCTCCTGCCTCAGCCTCCCCACTTGACCCCCTGGCGAATTGGCCGTGTTGAGTCCTCAGTCCTGGGCCCTGGGCACGGGACCGCAGGGTTCTCCTGGCTTTTCCTGGGCAGCGCTTGTTTTCTGGGCAGTGTCTTGAGGAGCGGATGTTTTCCATCTTGATGAATTTCCTCAACCGGTTTTTCTGCTGCAGGTTGTGCTTTAGTGGCTCATCCAAGGGATCTGCCAGACCCAAGTTTGTGCCCTTGTTCACTGGGTGGCTTTGGCTCTTGTATTTAAGTCTCTGAGCCCCTGTGAGCTGCTTTGGGCCTGTGGGGTGAGGCAGGGTCCGAGGTCTCTTGTCCAAGCAACCGTACCTGCCCTTCCCTTGGTGGGAAACGGGGTGACCTGAAGGCAAGGATTGACTTCTGGACTCCCAGCTGTCTTCATGAAGCTGTGTCCACCCTCACGTCAGAATGACCGGTCTTGGTCACTGTCTGGATGGCTATGGCTTGTGGTGAGCTTTGCAGTCAGGAGGCCGCCCTCAGACTCTTTGGAGGTGGGAGCTCTGCCCAGCCCTGTCCTCCCCATGTGTGGGGGACAGGGACGGAGCTCAGGGCCACCCTACCACTGAGTTGTACCCTCTGCCCTTCTGAGGCAGGTTCTCACTAGGCTCCTGAGGCTGGCCTTGGACTTGTGATCCTCCTGCCTCAGCCCCCGAGTAGCTGAGGTTATAGCATGTGCCACTGGGCCTGGTTCTTGTCCTTTTAAAAAAATGATCTGCCTCCTCTGGGTCCTTTGAATTTTAGGCTTGGCTTGTCCGTTTCTGCAGAAATCCCTTCTGGGGTTCTTAGGTATTTTTATGGTGCTTGGGGTTGAACCGGGCCTCGTGCCTGCTGGGCAGGTGCTGACCGTGGGCTCCAGCCAGCCCTGTGTGTCTTGCTGTGCTGGGGATGGGACCCGGGCACTCGACCCTGGGCCACATCCCTCCACAGCCTTCTCACTGGGGCTTTGAGGGGGTTCAGTGTGCGGAGTTGCCGTGGAAACTGTTGTGCTCCTCCCCTCAGTAGGCGGGACTGTCTCCCATTTGTTTGGATCTTGTCTTCTCTGTCCCTGTGACACCCTGGGGCAGCCTCCCCTCTGCTCATCTGGGGTCGCAGCACAGCCTGGGGCGAGGGGCAGCCTCCAGGGGCCCAATCCTGAGGGCCTCGGTCACCTGTGTGCCCCATGGTTGAGGAGGTGCTGTCGCTGCAGGACCCCAGTTGCTGTGGCACCTGTCTTCAGGGCCACCCAGCGGACACCTGCTTCCGGAGTCCCTGGAGAGGCAGCGTCCCCCCGGCCACACAGATGGCAGGCCGAGAGCAGGCCGAGGCCTCTAATGGCCTTGGGTGGGATGGGAGTGCTGGTTTGTGGGTGACTCGGGGGTGAACGAGGTGMAGTGCCTGTCAAATGGTTGTGGTTTGTCACCACTCTGCGCTCGGGGCTTCTTTCAGATCTCCTCTGCGGCCTGTGGCTATGGATTCACACTGCTGTCCTCCAGGACCAAGGATGTCACCAAGGTGTGGGGCATGGGACTCAACAAGGACTCCCAGCTCGGGTTTCAGAGGAGCCGGAGGGACAAAGGTGCGGGGCCACAGGAGCCTGCGCTGGCGTGGGCACCTCTGGCCGGAGTGGGACTGAGAGGCTGGCTCGTGACCCCGGCCAGCTGGAGCTCACCCTGGTCAGCAGCAGCGGGGACCCTCGGCAGTAGGGTGGGCACCGGGGTGGGCAGTGGCTGCTCCCGCTTGGCCCCGGGTGCCCGTGCCTGGACGTGGCCTGGGAGGAGACCAGTGGGCCCTCCAGACCCCGGGCTTGTCCCCGCGTTTGGGGCTTCAGATGTAAAGGGTCAGGAACGGCCGACGAGGATGTTTAGGAAGCAGGCCTTGTCACCAGAGCCACAGGAACCAAGGTGGCTGTGAGCTGAGGTGCCACTACAGAGCAGATTTACTCTTAAGACAGGAGCCATCAGCCCRACGCCAGCGGGCAGGCCTCCCACATCCCGAGTCCCTGTCCACCTATACAGCAGGCGGCCTCCCGTGTCCCCGTCTACCTGCAGTCTGTTTCTGCCTGGGTCAGAGCGCACTTGTGTTTTGTCTTGGGCTGTTTTAGTCTCTGTATCAGAGAAGCTTGGCATCAGGGTCGGGCCTCATTGGCCCTGAGAGGCCGCCCTCCATGTTTCTGGCCCACTAGGCCTTGAACGGCGCTGGGGGGACCCCAGGCCTGGCGCATGCAGAGCAGGTGCCACCCTGAGCCTCCCCACCCTAAGTTTCCCTTAGCGGATCACTGACTTGTCCAGACYGGCCGCAGCCTCTGGAGCCCCAGGAGATTCCCAAGGAGGCCCAGCGTGTGGTTCAGTGACCACTGGGTTCCTGGCCCCGACGGGCACTGGGAGCTTCCCGCCTGACTCTGYGGGGAACGGGGTGGACAGCGGTTCCTGCTGCCGGAGGTGGCCTTGGCCGCTGCCTCGCTCTGACCTGCGGTCCTCTGCAGCCAGGGGCTACGAGTACGTCCTGGAGCCGTCGCCCGTCCCGCTGCCCCTGGACAGGCCTCAGGAGACCCGGGTGCTGCAGGTGTCCTGTGGCAGGGCGCACTCCCTGGTCCTGACGGACAGCGAGGGAGGTGAGTGCCCTCCCTGCGGGAGGGCCATTGGTGGGCTTGCTGAGCTCCTCGGGAGGTCTCTGCACTGGGCTGTGTGCACGCACAAAGGGTCTGTTTGCTTGCACCTCCCCTAGTGTGGCCTCTCAGGCCAAGGACCCTGTGCCTGAGGTCCCTCTGCAGAGGGCTTGTGTCCAGGGAGAGGCAGCAAAGCCGCTTTGTTCCCGCTTCTCCTCCTGGCCAAGGTGCCTGATGGGGGAAGGCAGAAGTGGCCTTAGGAGGCCCTCACCAGGGCCTTTGGTGTCCGTGCAGCCTGGCCACAGGCACATGGACGGGGACTTGCCCACACTGTGGAATTCCCAGGAGGTGGGACCAGGGCACGGGGACCCAGAAGGCCTGAGGTGTCCCTAGAGGCGGGTGTTGCAGGAGGGAGCCCCGTGGCAGTCGGGATGGGCAGCTGTGGGGGATGGCTCCGGAGACCCTGGTGGCCCTGGCCTGCTGGGATCCCATGAGCCTGCGCGGTGGATTGTGGCCTGGGTGGACTGGGTCGGCTGTGTCCCTTCCAGTGTTCAGCATGGGGAACAACTCGTATGGGCAGTGTGGCCGRAAGGTCGTGGAGAATGAAGTGTACAGGTGCGTGCCGAGCTCTGCCCCCAGACCTAAGTGGCCGCAGGGTGAGAGCCGGGGCTCCGTACCCCTGGGGGGAGCCCTGGGGCGGTTCTGCTGGGGGTGGGCTCAGACATGAGCTTGGGGGTGAGGGGTGAGCCTTGGTCGTCATGTGTACAAACCTTTTGAACTAATTTTTTGAGGAGTACTGGGGATTGAACTCAGGGGCACTGACCACTGAGCCCCATCCCCATCCCTGTTTTGAATTTTGTTAGAGACAGGGTCTCACGGAATTGCTCAGCACCTGGCTAAATTGCTGAGGCTGGATTTGAACTCCTGATTCTCCTGTCTCAGCCTCCTGAGCCTCTAGGATCACAGGCGTGCACCACTGTGCCCGGCCGAATTAATTTTTATAACCTTTTTACTTTAAATGAAGGGGAATTATTTAAATTAACCACGTTTTCAAATTGGTTAACTTAAAAAGTTCACCTTCATTTCAGTTTTTTCATTTTGTATTAAAAAAGAAAAAATTCCACTAGTTCCTTGCTTGATGCTGGTGGCCTGAGTGCTAGTCTCTGGCCTCATAAAAAAGTCATGTCGAGGTCTGGGCTGTGACTCAGGGGCAGAGCGTTGTCCAGCACAGGTGAGGCATTGGGTTTGATCCTCAGCACCACATAAAAAAATAAGTAAAATTAAATTATTGTCCAACAACTAAAAATATTTAAAAAACCTCACATCAAGCTGGTGCGGTGGCCACGCCTGTAACCCCAGCTGTGTGGGAGGCTGAGGCAGGAGGAGCGCAAGCTGGAGGCCAGCCTTGGCAACCTAGCGATACCTGGTTTCGGAATAAATAACTAAATGAAGGGGCTCAGTGGCAGAGTGCCCCTGGGTCAGTCCCCAGTACCGCGGGGAGGAAGAGACGCCTTGAGTTTCGTTGTGTGGGTTGTCCCCCCCAGGCCTGCTGTGCTCTGAAGGTGGCCCTGTGCACATGGGGTTGGGCTATCGGCCAGGGTGAAGGGGCCCGGCCTGTGCAGGGCTGATGGCCACGTCTCCTCTTCTTGGCTCTAGTGAAAGTCACAAGATCCACAGGATGCAGGACTTTGATGGGCAGGTGGTCCAGGTAAGAGACGGGCTCCTCCTGTCCCCGGATGCTTTGGAAGGATCGACACTGGGCGGGGTGCTGGCAGGCGGTTAGGGGAACTTCCTGAAGGGTCAGGTTACTCTGGTCAGGACTCCTGGCCTGCGCTGGAGACCAGGCTCCTGCTGAACCCTGGGATGGGGGTCTGGAAGAGTTGGGGCGGGGGTGAGGCTCCCGTGGAGACCAGGCTGCCTGCCCAGCTGCGTCCACCTGGAGTGGGGGCCTGTGGGGCGGTACCCAGGCACCCGATGGCCACTTAGGATAAACACTTAGCCTCGGGTGTTCCTGCTGAGGCTGGGGTGCTGCCCAGCAGGAGGGGAGGGGCATCCTGGAGGCCCAAGCAGGCCTGGGGTGTGGCTGGTGGTCACTGCTGTGCTCGTGGTAGTGCGCTCTGCAGCTGTCAGGAGGGCAGGCGGGAGTGGACGACRCACAGTCTGGGCACTGGTGGGGAGTGGAGCCCTGAGAGCCTCGTCCTTGGGCAGTGGGCTGTGAGGTTTTCAGCAGGGCGGGGGGTGCGTGGTGTGTGCCAGGCCCAGGTCCATGTCCAGCGTCTCCGAAGGAATGTGTTCCAGGGGAGGTGGCTGCCGAGTCGTGACCTTCCAGAAAGACGACTTAGCCCTGGTGGGAAGTAGAGGGGAGAGGCGTGGAGGCCAGGAGGGGAGTCTGGGAGGGTGGGGGCATAGACCCCCAGGACAGCCAGGCTTCGGGGTCAGGAGAGGAGCAGGGAGGGCACCCTGGGATCCAGAGTGACTGGCCAGCAGAATGGGGGACGCGGGGCTTGGTCAGGGGTCACGGGAGAGGCAGAGCCTCCTGCGCAGCCCCAGGTGCCTGTGGGCTCAAGTCCCCGTCCTCCACCCATGGATGAGTGGCTTCGGGTGTCACCAGACCTCCTGAGTCTGTCCTGGGTGGTCCTGCTGTGGCCTGCTTCTCCTGAGGCAGTTAGAGACCAGGTCTGGAGACCAGCGTGGGGTGGCAGTGGGCCTTGGGAATAGAGCAGCCAGGTGTGGGGAGAGGGAGAGGCAGGAGGCCCAGGACAGGCTCGGGCTCCAGCGGTGAAGGGGATGAAGGGGACTGGGGCTGAGGCTGAGCTGGAGCTGGCCAGGGTGGGGCGTGGTGGTGGTGGGGGGGACGCAGGGGTGGGGTGGGGGGTGGGGTGAGGGTGGGCCCTCCCTGGCCCCCTCTCTGGCCCCCTCCCTGGCCCCCTCCCTGGCCCCTCTCCCTGCCCCCTCTCGCCCCCTCCCTGCCCCCCCGCCCCTTCCTGGCCCCCTCCTGGCCTCAGGAGCTGCTGCTCTGGCTGCGCAGAGGGGAGAGCAGGCCTGGGAACTCTCTGAGAGAGGGTCTCCTCTGCCCACTGGTGTCCTCCAGGTGGCCTGCGGACAGGATCACAGCCTGTTCCTCACGGATCGAGGCGAGGTCTACTCCTGTGGATGGGGTGCCGATGGGCAGACAGGTGCGTGATGCGAGGCCGTGGTGTGGCCCTGGGGGCCAGGACCGCCTCCCACTGGGCTCCATCCCCCTTGCTCCTGGGGAGTGCTGTCCCCTGACTTGCCTGTGACCCCCTTGCTCCTGGGGAGTGCTGTCCCCTGCACTTGCCTGTGACCCCCTTTCTGCTGCCTGTGACCATGGACATGCAGCCTGCAGCTGGCCAGCCCTGACCCCCACTGCTGGTCCTGCTCTGGGCCTGCAGGGCGACTCGCTCCTGAGGCCCCGACTTGTGTGTGGAGGCTCCCTTCCTTAGGTGTTTAGTAATGTTAATTTTTCTGAATTTCCTTTTTCATGTTTTTGCTTCACTAGGATCTAAACCAGGGTTCTTTACTACGGGCCAATCCCAGCCTCTGCTCTTACGTGTATCTGTGTGTGTATCTGTGTGTATCTGGGGCACCAGGCATTGAACCCAGGGCCACCGAACCACGGAGCCACATCCCAAGCCCTTTTTCTTTTCTTTATGTCTTTTTAGAGACAGGGTCTTGCTGAGTTGCTTAGGGCTTCCCTAAGTYGGCTGGCTCCGACTCCCCATCCTCCTGCCTCAGCCCCCTGAGTCGCTGGGATCACAGGCGTGGGCCACTTGCCCGGTGCTTATCTTACAAAATTTCTAACTTGATTCTGACCTAAAAAATTCCAGGGTCCCTAAAAACATGCCTTTTGGGTCTTAAGAATATGCCATTTGTGGGGCTGGGGTTGTGGCTCAGTGGTAGAGCGCTGGCCTCCTATGTGTGAGGCACCAGGTTCCATTCCCAGCACCTCATATAGATAAGTTCCATCACCTGAAAAATATTAAAAAGAAATCAGAAAAAAGAAGAATAGCTGTGTGTGACGAGTCCTCCCTCGTGGGAGCAGGGGTGCGGCCAGCAGGGCAGGCCAGGCTTTCTGTGCGGGTGCTGTTGGGGCCAGCGTTGTGCTTGGCGAGTAACTGAAGGTGCGCGTTTCCCTTGCCAGGTCTCGGTCACTACGATGTCACCAGCGTGCCCACCAAGCTGGGAGGGGACCTTGCCGGAGTGAAGGTCGTGCAGGTCGCCACCTATGGGGACTGCTGCCTGGCTGTGTCAGCGGACGGAGGCCTCTTTGGTTGGGGGAACTCGGAGTACCTGCAGCTGGCCTCCGTCACCGAGTCCACTCAGGTGCGTGCGGGGGGGGGGGGGGGGGCTGGAACAGCAGGAGACCTGGTCACCAAGCCGCCTTACAAGTGGCTGAGACAACTTGTACTTATTTATTTGTGTCAGCCCCCGAGGGGCTGCCCTGGGGCTGGCTCCCCTCGACCTCAGTGCACCTGCTGGGTCCTGTCCACTCTGTGCCTGTCCTCCCTCCCTCCCTCCCTCCTTCCCTCTGGCCTGCCCTTCCCAGGGGGCCTCTCAGCCATGCTTGCATCCTGTCCCCATGTCTTTGTCCCCGAGTTCTCAACCTTGTCCCCAAGTTCTCGACCCAGTCCATTGTAGTCTGCCTCTGCCTGTCAGCTTGTCCATGGCTCCCGTGAGGGCCACCAGCGACCTCCCTGGGGCCAGAGGCACTAGGAGGGCACTGGACAGCCTTTTCCCGCCTCATCTCTGACCTTGGCCGTGGCGCTGCTGGGAYGCACTCCTTCCCGGCTGTCCTCGTGCCCCTGCCCTCCCCCTCCTCCCTGGTCTGGCCCCTGCTCTTCCTCCCCCGCTGGCCCTTTGAGGTGTGGGCGCCCCTCCTGGCCTCTGCGTCTCCCACTAGATGATCTCTCCTGTGGCTTCAGTGTTTCTGCCGCTCACCTGCCCCTGACCCCGGGCTCCTGAGTGCTGCTCTCCCTGGCCTCCCCAGGGCTCCCTGGGCTCCTCCAGCGCTGCCTGTGCACTCTCCAGAGGACGGCCTGTGCAGAGTGCCTCTCCTCGGCCACCCGTGCCACTCWCGGCCGTGGGCCCTTTGTTCTGGCCTCCCGTGAGCTCCTCGTGGCTTCACGCCCAGCTGTCCTCTCCTGCCTCAGCTGGACGCCCTGCTCCCCGCTTCGCCCTGGCCTGGTTGGTTCCTGCCTCTCCTCAGGCCTCAGGCACGGATGCCCCCCTGGCTGCCTCTCCCCCGCCTGCCCAGCTCTGCCACTCAGACCCCTGGATCCCCCTTGCGTTTTGCTCGTGAGGTCTGAGGTTGACCTTGACTGCTGCCCCTGGGCCAGCCAGTGCTCTTTGAGGGTGGGCTGGTCCTGTAGCCCCTGTGCATCCAGGTCCCTAGGTCCCGGCTTCGTGCCTGTGCGGTACTCAGGAGATGGCCCTGGAGTAGACAGAGAGCTTGTGTGGCCCTGCCCACGGCCCACTCCCCACGTAGCCTGTCCTACTTGGAGCCCTTTCTCGCTGCAGGTGAACGTCCCTCGGTGCCTGCCCTTCTCAGGAGTGGGGACTGTGAAGCAGGCGGCCTGCGGGGGCACCGGCTGTGCCTTACTGAACGGTGAGACCCCCTTGGGTAGTCATTGGGGACTGGTGGGCATGTCCACCAGGCTGTCAGGTTCACGTGGCCATGGGATGATCCGCTGGACTGAGCCTGGTGAATTTTGTGACACATGTGGCCAGAGAGCTGCTCAGCCTGTCACTCCAGCAGACCTCGAGGGTGCAGGGTCCCTGTTCCCTCATCCCGGCCAGATCCCCTCTCCGGCCAGGAAGTAAATACAGAGTAGGCACTACCACTGTGTGCCCTGTGAAAGAGTGTGTGGCACACTGAGGTCCCTGCCCTGCGAGTGAGTGTGTGGCACACCAGGGTCCGTGCCCTGAGAGTGAGCGTGTGGCACACAAGGTCCGTGCCCTGCGAGTGAGCGTGTGGCACACCGAGATCCATGCCCTGCGAGTGAGTGTGTCGCACACCGAGGTCTGTGCCCTGAGAGTGAGTGTGTGGCACACCGAGGAGCACCAACCTTGGCATGGGTATCAGGGCTGGAACCTGGGGCCTCGCTTGTGCCGTGCACTCTCCGAGCTGCACCCCAGCTGCAGGCCTGAGGGGCGCTTGCCTGGCCTGAGCCATCGGTTCTCAGCATCTGGGGAGAAAAGCAAGAACTTGGTGTCAGAAAACCATATCCAGGCAGAAGCAGGAGCATCCCAGGCTCAAGGCGGCCTCAGCGACTTTGCAAGACCGCAGAGGACCTGGAGAGTGCCCATCTCAGGGGACGTGGCTCCATGGGGGCGCACCCCTGGGTTTGATTCCTGGTACCAACAAAAACGTTTTTTCCTTAAAGTTTAAGGGTCTGGCCAGGAATTGTCTGTGTTATGTGTCTGCTCAGCGAGGACCTGGGTCCGTTAGTAGGGACAGCTGTCTCCAAGCTTCAGGAGGCCATGTGGGCTTCCTGGGTCATTTAGGGGCTGCCCCCGCCCAGGTTGCCGCATGACATGGGCTCTGGGCTCCGAGGGTGGCCAGCAGTTGGGCGGATGCCGAGGCAGGAACTGAAGCCAGGACAGGAGGAGTGTTTTCAGCCTTTTCTTGCCACCAGGGAGGCTACCCCTGTCCCTGTGGGCACAGTGAGCAGGGTGTGTGGGAGCCTTAACTGGGTGGCCCGCTGACCCTGTCCTGCTGTGCGCAGGGGAAGGACACGTGTTTGTCTGGGGCTATGGAATCCTTGGCAAAGGACCCAGCCTCGCRGAAACTGCCCTTCCGGAGAGGATCCCGCCCACGCTCTTCGGCCTGACTGAGTTCAACCCGGACGTCCAGGTCTCCCTCATCCGCTGTGGGCTCAGCCACTTTGCTGCCCTTTCTAGTAAGTGGCCGGCTGGCAGGACCCAGGTGCTCCCCCGCRTGCTCCCTTCCCTCTGTGTGCCCGTGGTGCCTTGGTGGGCTGACCAGGACGGGMTGACCGGGAACAGCTAGCAGCCGTCCGTGGCTTGCGGGTGAACAACCTCGTCTCTTCCTCCCCTGGAACTGGGCTCGGTTTCTGTGGTTTGTGGTGAGGCTGATGTTTGGGTGACTCTCGAGGGCACCAGTTGGCTGTGCGAGAAACCCTGGCAGAGGTGGGCGAGTCCATGGAGAGTGTGGGTGGGCCACCCCCGCAGGCCAAGACCCCGCTCGGCCCTGGGCACGCAGTGGCCAGAGGCAGTTTGGAGACCCCTGTGGTTTCTGGAGGTGGAGCTCTCCTTGCTCCAAAGTGCTGGGGGCCATCACAGGATGGCCTGGCCAGATGACAAGCTGTCAGAGACGAGTTTTCCCACGGGCCTCCGGGCTGGCACAGCCCATGGCCTCTGGGTGCCCCGGTTGTGGGTTTCCCTGGGCAGTATGACTGCACCAGGCGGCTCACTTGTCGATGACCCCTGTGTTCAGTCCTCTCCTGGGAAAGGCCMCTTTTCCTCAGGGAGGTGCCATCAGGTGCTTCACGCTGAGCTGCACCCCGTCCTTTGGGTTTTTATTTAGAGGCAGGGGGTCTCACTACGTCACTGCGGCCTCGCTAAGTGGCTGAGGCTGGCCTTGGACTCGTGCTCTCCCTGCTCAGCCTCCCGAGCCACAGGACCCCAGGCCTGGGCAGTTTCCTTTGTCCTTCTTTCTTTGCTCCCAGTGGCAGCATGACCTGAGAGTGGCCGTGAGCATGAGTGCTGGGCAGGACAGGTGGCTCCCGGCGCCACGCAGAGCCAGACCCGGGGGCTTTCCCTGGCTTGGCACTGTCACTTGGCAGAAGGCGGGTCCCTGAGACCCTGGCGGGGCACACGCGGGGAACGGCCTGAGTCCGTCTGTGGCAGCCCTCGCGGGAGCTCCACAAGCCCCTTATGAGGCCAGGCCCTGGTGACCGCCTGCTCCTTCCGGGCCCCTCCACTGTCCTCACCATTACCCTGGGGGACCAGGTGTCCACCACATGGATTTGGGGGACARACTGTATTTGAGCAGTACACGGGTCCCTTCCGTGGACTGCGTCCCTGTCCTTTGTGGCCTCTGTGGTTTGCAGTCATGGGTGGGTTGGGCGGTTTAGTTCTAGCTCTTCATCTAGGTCGGGTCCCATCACTGTGTCCTGTCACCGCCCTGTCCCCAGGTCACAGCACATGGGCCCAGGCCTGGCTCAGGCAGGCCCCGGGGGACCCAGAAAGAGCAGCCTCTCTGTGGCTTAGGAAGCCAGGAGTGGCCTGGGTGTGTGGCAGGGTCACCAGGGCCCGGCAGGGCTGGGCAGGGCCACATACCCCTCAGACTTGCCTCCCGGGGGTCAGACGGCAGGGTGGGGAYGGTGCCTAAGACACTGGCTTCTCCCTTCCCAGGAAGCACTGAGGGAACGAGGTGGGGACAGGCCATCTGTGCCTGATTGCAGAAGGTCTGTCCTCGAGGCCGGGCTCCTGGGACGGGCTCTTTGCCAGCTGCCAGCTCCTGCCAAGCTGCTGTCCTCTTCCCCTAGACAAGGGCGAGCTGTTCGTATGGGGCAAGAACCTCCGCGGGTGCCTGGGGATCGGCCGCCTGGAGGACCAGTACTTCCCCTGGAGGGTAAGGCCGGGCGGGGAGCAGCCTCGGTGCCGCCGGTGCCTGGTGCCTGGTGCCTGGTGCCTGGTGCCTGAGCCGGTGCCTGCCCAGCATGCAGAGGGGCTGGGCCTGGAGCAGGGCAGGGCTGGGCTGGGGGCTGTCCCCCCTGCTGCAGTGAAGGGGTAGCTGGGGCCAGGCCAGGCTCCCAGATTTCAGGGCTCGCTGTCCTCGGCTCCCGTGAGGTCAGCTCTCTGTGGGGGCCTGGTGAGGGCACGGCTGGAGGGAGTGGCCCTGCGGGTGTTCCTGTCCCTGCAAGAATCTCCGTCAGAGCCTGTCCTGGGCAGGGGAGCTACCAGGCCTGGAGCAGGTCCTCACCCGTGGCCCCGGGAGTGCGCTCTAGGTGGTCCAAGAGGGTCAACGGCCTGTCCACAGCTGCTGGGGGCATCCAGGCTCTGTAGTGGGGATGCAGCAGGCAGGAGGCGTTTTCAAATCTTAAGGGGCGGGGGTCCTTCTTCAGTTGTAGCTTGTCTCATTGTGGCTCAYGGCCAGCTTAGGAGGTGTCCTCGAAAGTCACTACAGCCGCGCTGTGGAGGGCGGCCTCCTGCGCCACCCCCCATCCGCGCAGTGGCCCGTATTGGTGTCTCCCGTTCCCTCTGGGAGTCTCTGCAGAGCTGTGTGCATGTGTGCGTATGTGTGTGTGCATGTGTGTGTGCGTGTGTGCACRTATGCACATGTGTTGCGTGTGTACCCTGAAGGTACCTGTGAGTAGGACAGCCTGTGTCTGCAGTGGGGTCGCTGGGTGGAGTGGCTGGCGGGGCTGCCCCAGACTGGACTCACAGGGTAGGAGCGAGGGCCTCTTGAGCTGCTCTGATAGGACAGACATGACACCGGCCTGAGGGCCGCAGCCTCTGGGATGCACATGTGCAGGACACGTCTCGCTTYCCCAGAGGTGTCCCAGGTGTGGACGTGAGCTGCGATGGCCGCCCTTGTGGGCAGGGTGCAGTGAGGGAGTGGCCTCCCGAGAGGCTGACAAGGCTGGTGGCCCTGCTGCCGCTGCCCACATTGAAGGGTGTCTTGCTCTTGTTCCTTCAGGTGACGATGCCCGGTGAGCCCGTGGACATGGCCTGTGGTGTGGACCACATGGTGACCCTGGCCAAGTCTTTCATCTGACCTCCTGCCTGACCCTCCCAGGGCTGTCGGAGGCAGCCCAGCAGGGTGGGGACACAGTGCCTGGTAGGGCTCTTGAATGATGTTGAACCACTGCCCTTTGTAGGCCACGCTCCCGAGGGGTCCTGGCCAGGGTGTGGGGCGACTGTTGGCACACCCACCTATTCAGGGCTCCGGGGCCCGGTTGGCCCAGGACGGCTGTCMAGGGAGGCTCAGCCTCAGGATGTGTCTGGTCTCAGGCGGTGGCCTGCCAGGACACAGCGACCAGGGGCTCTGGGTGTGTCCTAGTGACCCAGGTAAGCCTCGGTTAGGTCGTAAGCCAGGCGGGCTCCTGTGAAACTTGTGCTGGATGACCCCGTGCACACAGCCACCTGCCCGCTGCCACACTGAGCCCGAGGACAGTGAGCAGCCTCCAAGACCCCGCGGGCTCCTCGCTGAGCGGCCAGCCCTCCCGCCGCCCTGTCCTGCCGCCGCGCTCACCGCCTGCTGGAGGAGACTCGGGGGGCTCAGCCTGGCTGGAGGCCAGCGGACGAGGATCTGAAGTCACGGCCATGTCCGCCCTGGTCACTGTTGGCCTTTTCCCTTAGAACAGTATTTACAGATATTTTTGGAATAAAGTCTATTTTCTGCCTCTTGAGGTCTCCTAGGGGTCTCTCTTACCGCCAAGAGGTCAGCGGTGACGAGCAGGACTTGGGTCAAGAGGCAGATGGAAGCCAGCGGACAGGCCTGTGGACGGCCCTGCCTGGGACATTCCGAGCCAGTCCTGCTCCCAGGTCCTGGGGCCGTGGTCAGGTGGGGACCCACCACCACCCGCGACGCCCGGCTGCTGCYGTAACTCGCTGCGCAGATACTTGTGGCAAGTCCTCTGTGACCCGGCCATTGTGCTCTGGGACACGTGCCGATGGGAGCCTTACCTTGAGAGGGGACCAGGGACGGGAGCAGCGGGGAGGAGGGGACGGGTGGGAGGGTTGCAGGTGGAAGTAGAGTGTCACTGTCACCGGGCAGCTTATTCCTGGCCTCACCCAGGGTACATGAGAACCAGCTGGTTAGTGTGTGGGGAGTGCCCAGCGCAGCTTCAGGGACCTCCTTGGCCGAGCTGCCCCTGCTSTCTGGGGACTGGGAAGCCCGTGGTAGTGGTGTGACTCTCTGCGCTGATGCCCTGCTGGTTTGGCTCAGGTTGCTGCAGTGACAGGCAGGCGCTCGGTGGTGACACAGGCTGGCGGCACATCTGGAGGGCAGGGCCTGGAGGGTCCCAAGGGTGGCCAGGTGAGCGCTAGAGTCAGGAAGGCTCCTGAGCATGACCTTGRCTGCAGCCCCAGTGTATGGTGGCCCCCCGGGTCTCCTGAGCCCAGGGTRTCAGGGTCTCTGGGCAGCCCTGCCCTGGTGGGTTGGGCCTCCTCTGCGGGGAGCCAGGCCCTGCCCCACTGTTGTCTGCCCCGCTCTGGCGTTGCCCTCCCTCCCAGCCCCTCCCACACTGGAGGTACCCTCCGCCATGCCCCTGGGCGGTTGCTGTGATCTCCTTTGTTCCTGCTACAACCTCCTGTCAGTGAGCAAGGGAAGGACACTGGGGGACCCGGAGGTCAGTGAGCAATGGAAGGACACCTGGGGGACCCAGCCACGTGCCGGCCCTGTGCCCTCTGGCCGCTCTAGGGCCAGACTGTCCTTCCTTTGTGGCCAGCAGCCAGGGGGGAGCTGGAATGGGGGCTGCAGTGTGTCCTGCTTCAGCTGCTCAGGGCCACTGTCATCCCTCCTGGGCAGAGTGGCTCCTGGGCGTCTGGTCTCCCCCTCAGGCCAGCGCTATGCTGGCCCTGCTCCACGCGGGCGACACTGAAATCAGCTCACAGAGCCCCTCCCGCAGGGGCCAGGGGGCAGCCTCCGAGGCTCTTGTGTCTGGAGTGTCGCTGGCGTGTGTGTTCTGCTTTGGGTCCTGGGGTTGAACCCGTCCCCAGGTCCCAGCTTCTCCCCCGCAGCCCCATGTGACAGGCCCTTTCRGATGGCCTTGGGGGACCACCCAGCACTGGCACAGCCCTGAGGCGGCYCTCTGTGCCAGGAGCATGCCCTGCCCAGGACCCCATGTTGCCCCCTCCTCTCGAGGTGCGTTTCCCGGCCCCCTCGGTGACTCATGCTGCACCCATGAAGGAACTCCAGTCTGGGCCCTGCTGCTCAGGGGCTGGCAGGGGTGCTTAAAAAGGGCTGGGTGTAGCTCAGTGGCAAAGTGTCCCTGGGTTCAGTCCCCAGTCCCGCCCTTGCACAAAGATTCCAGACTCCTTACAAGCTGGCTTAACGGGATCAGCAGCGGCCAAGTGGACTCTGCTGGGGACAGCACTGGACCTCCCTGGCCACACCCCTCTTGGTCTGGGCGCACCAACGTGCCCGCTCAGCTGTCTGGTTGAGGTGATGTTTTTGGCCGGGAGACTGACCCTGGGCTGCTTCACCACCAGCACATCCACAGCCCTTTTTATTTTATTTTTGTAATCTTGAGACAGGGCCTTGCTAAGTTGCAGAGGCTGGCCTTGATTTCGGCATCCTCCTGCCTTAGCCTCCCGAGTTGCTGGGATTATGGGGTGCGCCACGGCACCTGGCTCAGTAGTCAGGTTTAAAAGGGTGAGCCCAGACCCTTGGTCACCTCTGACCAGGCCTTGGCCATCCTGCTGGTAAGGCACAGTCCAGGTGTCCCTGGTGGGGGACACTCCTGGTGACCATCGAGGGTCCTGCTGGGGCTCTGGTAGGGAGCATGGCAGCCAATGCCAGGAATCCAGCAGAGCTCACCTGGAACCTCGCCCATCTTGGAAGGGCCCTCATTGCGTCCCCTTTGGTGACAACTGGACAAGGTGAGGTTGATGGTTACAAGCTGGTTCTAGAGCTGCAGCAGCCAGACCTCAACCCAGTGGGAGGACCCCCAAGGTGAAGTGGATGGATGCCCCGCGTGCTTCCAGGGGGTGGGCAGCCGCCCGTCTTGGGAGCCCACACGCTGGGTGGCTGGCCTCTGACCAGCCGGCCTCCTGCCCTGGGAGCGGCCACGGGAACGGTGTGCACAGCGGTGCCCTGGGGCGCCTCRGGCAGAGTGTGCCCATGAACCCTGGGTGCTCACCCCTGCTGCGCGCTGGCACCAGACCATCTGGTGACAGGACGTCTGGGAGCTCCTCTGTCGTTCGTCCCTTAGTGGAGAGTCGGGTCCCTTCCAGCTGTGGTGACATGGACAGTGCCACGCGCCCCTGTCTGTGTCACACTGGCTGAGCGCTCAGCACCTGTTTTGGGCATTTTTTCCCAGTGTCAGGGATGGCACCCAGGGCCTTGTGCCTGCCTGGCAAGGGACCTGCCACTCAGCCAYCCCCCCACCCTGCCCATTGGGTCACACARGTTTCGTGTGACCTGTTTCCCACTCTGGTGCACCAAGAGGGCAACTGCTGGGCCCCTTGTCTGTCCCTGAAGTTTTGACATCTGCCTCTGGGGTCCACAGCGCTCTGGCCCCCCCTGACTGCAGCCCCGGCTGTCCCGACGGCTGGCGGGAGACTGCCTGCCCCTGCCTCCACGCCAGGCCCCGTGGTGACCAGGAGGTGCCCAGGTCACGTGGGAGCTCCCGGCAGGGCTTCCCGTGGGCGGAGATGCCCCTGGACAGCTGCTGGCTGCGTCCCCTGTAGTCGGTGGAGTCCTGGGGACCGTCTAAGATGTGATGTCCCTCCACCAACCGCTGTAGGGCTCCTCCATCTTTCCGTCCCGTTCTGCGCTGCCCTCCCCTCGCTGTGTCCCTAATAGGACAACCCTGCTTTCTAGACCGCCCCCATGCCGCATGTCCAGGCCTGTTGTTCTCCCTACACAGCCCTTTGTTGAGATGTTGAGATGTGGCCACATAAGGCCATGTAACAGCAAAAGATCCAGACGACGCCCTCCTGCCGTGGCCTCAGCTTCCTGTTTCTGAGAGAAGTTGGGGAGCTTTAAACACTGGGTTGAAACCAAGGCCAGCAGATCTGGTCTCTGGTTGGTTCCAGCACAGGGTCTCTTGACCACTGAGCCACGTCCCCAGCCCTGTTTTGTGTTCTACTTAGAGACAGGGTCTCACTGAGTTGCTTAGCGCCTCGCTATTGCCGAGGCTGGCTTTGAACTTCGCCATCCTCCTGCCTCAGCCTCCGAGCCCCTGGGATGACAGGCGTGGGCCACCGTGCCTGGCCTCCCCAGGGATTCTGACATGAGCTGTGGCTGAGCCCCTGCCAAGGAGCAGCCAAGGCTCCATCCCAGAGTTCACCCCACCCAGGGAGGGAAGCACAAATAATGGTTCTGAGCGGCTGGCTGGACGCCCGCTGGTCTTCTGCCTCCAGAACAGGCCCTGCCACCCCTGACCTGCATTGGGAAGGGCCAGGAGATGACCCTGAGCCAGTCRGAGCCTGTCTCCTGAGAAATGAGGCAGGACGCCGGACCTGGACATCCCACTTTCCCCCTCATCCGTCTCAGCAACCTGGAACCCACTGTTCTGCACAGAAGCCTGAGGAGGTCAGCTGGCTGGGTCACCCCCTGGATTCCAGTCTCGGCCTCGCCCAGCCTCTCTGTCTCCCCACCCCCCACTTCTTCCCCCAGCCCTGGCTCCCTCTGCTTCTGAGCCTCTGCGCTCCGGTCCATCTTCCTGGGTCCCTCTGGTCCATCTTCCCGGGTCCCTCTGGTCCATTTTCTGGGTCCCTCTGGTCCATCTTCCTGGGTCCCTCTGGTCCATCTTCCTGGGTCCCTCTGGTCCATTTTCTGGGTCCCTCTGGT